TCGACTGGGACGGGGGCTTCTAGCACGGCCTTCATCTTTTCTGCCGCTGTTGATATTCCACGCTTACTGATCACGTGACCCAGAAGCTGCAATTCCGTTTTAAAAAATTCACACTTTTCCGTCTTAATTCGCACCCCCCTTTATGCAGCCGGGTTAGTAGCGAATCAAGGCTCTCAAAATACGTGTTCTCTCTCGCTCTGCCCCATGACCAGAATGTCATCTAGGTAGCATCTTACCGCTTTCAGTCCCTTTAACATGTTGTCCATCACCTTTTGAAAAATCGCGGGTGCCGACGCAACCCCGAATGCTAGGCGATTTACTGCGAACAGTCCTTTGTGCGTATTGAGGGTGAGGTACTCGCTGGAAACCTGGTCCATTACCACTTGCTGGTACGCTCTACTCAGGTCGATCTTGGAGAACAGTTGTACTCCCAAGAGAGTGGCAAAGATTTCTTCAACCTTGGGTGAGGGATAGCTGTCAATGTTTAAGCAGGGGTTCAACGATGCTTTATAATCCCCGCAGATGCGTACGCTGCCATCTTTCTTTACCACCGGTACAATTGGTGAGGCAAAACGACTGCTAGAAATTGACTCAATCACCCCCAGACCAACCGGCTTTTCCAGTTCTTTCTCCACTGCGTCTTTCAACGCGAACGGAATGATTCTAGCTTTACAAAACTTTGGGTGTATAGTTCAGGCTTCAGAGATAGGTGAGCTTGCTCACCTCGAATCACGCCGAGCCATGGGCGTACCAACAGGGGGGCAAGGGGGGCACTTGCCCCCACCCCAGTTCTCAGAGTGGGGGGGGGGCAAGGCATGTGTTTTGCCCCCCCCCCCCCCCCCCCCCCTGAAACGGCCGCCACTGGGCAGGGCACTGGCCGGCGGCGCCCAAGGAATACCAAGGGCACTGCCCCCCGACCCGCGCGGGCATATTTTTAACGCGCAGGCGATACATACCCTAGCAACGGCGCTCACGCCGGATTGGCTGGTTCGTGGAGATAGGCGCTGCCGCCGTCAACATAGGCAGCGGATACAATGCGAGTTTTCGAAGCGGTAGCATAACGTAGTGGTAAGATGTCTGCCTCATACGTATCAGACTCGCGTTCTATCCATCGTGTGGGCTTACTTCTTTTATTTTTTTTCCTTGAACATTTTGTTTTGTCGAGGCATTTGGCGATATTTACGAAATTTCTTTTTTTACGATTAACACTGTAGAAAACGAATGTTGTTGACGAAACATCGCTGAACTAAATCGTATGGGAGTCTATTTACGGAAGTGCATGAGGGACAGCGGGGCTTAGGTTGCCGACTGGACGCCGCAAATCGGCGTGTACGGGGGGGAAAGGGGGGGGGGGGGGGGGGGGGGGGGCTAAGTGGGTTAATAGTTTTGTAATTAGCAGCCGAACACTGTCGCCGCGAAGCGGCGTGAACGCACGCACGGGCGTGGGTTAGCGCGCTTCAAGTGATACAAGCGCCGTCCGAATCCGAAATTTAAGTTCCCGCGCGTTGCCGAGCAGCCAATCCGGCGTGAGCGTCGTTGCTAGGGGGTCTATCGCCTGCGCCGTAAAAGTAGCCAGTGACCAAAGCGCCCGGTGCGCATACACAACTGGCCCTCTCCCCCCCCCCCCTCTTTTACAACGCCTACACACACACACGCCGTAAAAGTTAGTGATGGACCGAACCTGCCGAACTTCAGAATCGGCAAAGTTCCGCACATGCCGAAATTTTAAAAGAAAATTCGGCAAAAATTTGGCAAAAGTCTGCGCACGCGCACGAAAGCGATGGGGCCATGGATCGCAAATGGACGCCGCGCAGTCGCGCGGTTACCATCGTACAGTTTAGTACAAGCAGGTGTTACGGCGAGGTGTGTAGTAGGCGACAGGGTAACTGTGCGTTTGTGAGCTTTTGTGAGTGTAGTTCTCTTCAATATTTTCTGCCTCAAAAACAGAAGATCGACCAGTAATTTACGCAGTCCACTGCGCAAGTGACATATGATGCGATGCATTCTGGATAACGTGATTTTCATTTGACCTTTCCATTGATGCAACGAGGTAGTTGAAACATTGACTGACTGACAACTGCACAATTACGCTCAGTGTGCGCAGCCCACTGCCGTCAAACGGGGCAGAGTCATGAGAGCTTGCCAGAATGTATGGGATGCTGCTGGCATCCTCGTCATAATGTGATACATGCTTTCTCCCTTCTTTTCTTTCCTTTTACGTACTTTCTGTAGTGTGTATGTTCTGCACCTTTAGTTATCTGTTTTGTTTTTTCATATGCGGTGGCGGGCTGGCAGAACATGTACACCCGTGAGCGATATGAAGGTGAACAGCCCCCGTCTTGTTTTTGACGCGCCTGCAAGTTTTGGAACAAGCTCTGTTCCAGAAGAGGGCTAGAACGCAAAGTTTAGACCCCAAGCCACGTACCATTTAAGACGTTGAGAGTTAATATAGCTTTAGGGAGCCGTAAAACAGGCAAGAAACCAGGTAAGGTGTTCACCTTCATATTGCCGGCGGGTGTACAAGCTACACAAACAAAGCAACTAAGTTAAGTTACTGAGTATTGGCCTCAAGATTAATTTTAGTAGAGTAAAAGCTACTGAAATGGAAAGTAATTCAGTAAATTACTAATTACCGTAAAAATGAGCAAATTACTTTTAAAGTTGCTTTTATTTTTTTCTATGCTAACAAGGAAGTACTTACATAGGTTTTGATGCGTTAGCGAAATTCTGCTAGCCGAATATAAAGCGGCGTGTTTTTACACAGAAACGCTTTAAAAGCTGGTTCTGCTTCTTCATGCCTAATTGTTGTGTACTTCTTTTTGATCAAGGATGTACTGCGGATGTATCATTTCACCTTTGAGGTTTAGTACAACCTGAGCTTGATTTTGCAGACAGTGTTTGACTGCTTACAGTGTTGCGCAAAGTACGTCTAAAAACTACTTGGAAGTACAAAGTTAATGAGGGATTATGTACTTCAAGTAAAGTAGTAAGTACAATGTACTTGAAGTGAAGTATAAATGCAATGTACTTCCAAAGTGAAGTATTGATCTTTCCAATAAACATGTTTTCTCTCAAAGTAAAGTAGAAGTACTTTTTAGCACACTCTTTGAGAATGCCCTTTCATACCCTATACAGCGATTTTTTTTAACAGGTATGCATAACTTTAGGGGAAATCGGAGGTGCATCCCGTTTTTTCGGAAAGGGCGGCAAAATCGAAGGTGCATCAGTTTTTTTTTTGTTTTTTTTAGGGGGGGGGGGGGAAATTGCGGCAATTAATACGCTATAGAGTAATTGTTTTATTCTCGCTGACGAAGCATTTAACACAATAAACTTATAAGGCACTTATTTGTATCGGTCTTATATCCGTCATTTCTTCACTCAGGGAAATGACCAGATGACGTCTCGAAAGACAACACAAGCTATATACAGGAGCACCAGATCACCTTCAGAGCGGGTGCTGCACTTTGTTAAATCCTTTGAGTGAGGATGCAATGTGTCCACCACCTGTAGTGGGCGAGAGTTCCTACGTTGGGGAGAAGCGGGAACAAGCCCTTTCTTCAAACTCCTCAAGTCTCCTTGTGCTTCGGGACACAAAGGAACGCCAGTCTTCGGCGCTAATCCCACAGTTACTCGGCCTGTCTTGCGTCGTGTCTCTTCGCTCCCCGCGCCTCATAGCAGTGTTGTTGCAGTGGGGGCTGGTTAAAATTTGCGGGGGGGGGGGGGGGGGGTGTTGGACTATCCAAAATGCTTTCTTCCCCCCCCCCCCCTTTTTTTACGCCACCATGCTTTCCCCCCTGCAAATATCAGCAGATCTTCGAACATCTTATCTCTGTTGATAGCAAAACAACTACTAAAATTCGAAAGTAATTTGTAATTTGAGAAGTCACTCGGGGAAAAGTAGTTAAAGTAAACTACTAATTACCAAAATAGAAATGTAATTGAAAGTTAGTAAACTACCCAGAGAAGTAGTGAAACTACAGCAGTTTAAGTAAAGTAGTTGAACTACGTACAAGTCTGGCTGGCAGGCGCTCTGCGTAAGGGTTTTCACCTATCTGCCTAGCCCCGCACACCACCACATGGGCACCTTCCAGTATGTGCAAATAAAATTATTATTACTATAACAATCCTGTTTTCGGCTCACAAGTAGTTTGTGCTAAAACAGAATAATATTGCTTTTTAGTTCGTGTTATTTCGCGATTTTCATGTATCTGCATAAAACTAAACACAGAAACTATAATGCCGTGACGTTGCACATCCGACATTCCAAACTCTCCCCATCTTCCTAAACGTCATTGAGTGTTCTAACACCAGAAACCGGAATTTTATTGGTTAAAAACGGCACGTTGCGAATATGGAATGCACACTTTCATGCAAAGCTGACGTCAAGTGACTCAAACAGAAACACATGCATATTTACAATATTGTTATCTCTTCTGGTGAAAGCAAACTAACCGTTGCATTCGTTTTCGCGCACGAAACGGGGACTCCCAGAGAAAGTAAGAACGCAGTGATTACCTTTATTTCAACAATGTAAACACACTTGCAGGCGTGCGCTGATGGAGCCTCAAAATCAAAACTCTCGTAGCGTGATTCGGGACTGCGCCGGCTACCAAACCTCGCTGTCACGCCACTTTCTGCAAGCAAACACTAAAATTGCCAGTAAAGACACAAAAGCGACATCGATACAATTATCTTGTAGAATATCACCTTATTTAGTCATAACTGTGTCAATAGGCACTACATGTTGCATTTATGTTTAAAAAAAACTTTTTTTCGTCAGAAAAACATAAATATCAATGTTAAGTTTGGTAACAGTGTATTTTTGCCGAATCATTGCCAAATCTTTAGAAAAGTACAGCAAAAGTTACGCTGAATTTTTGATTCTGCAAAAGTTCGGCCCATCACTAGTAAAAATATGCGACCAAGGGGTGGGGGGGGGGGGGGGAGAGGAGAGGGAAGGTCTGGTTTGCCCCCCCCCCCCCCCCCCCCCCCCCCCCCCACTCAAAAACAAGTTGGTACGCCACTGCGCTGAGCCCATCGTTGAACAACTGGCGATGTCGGTCCAAGACTTGTCCCTAGGCCCGGTGGTCTTCTGCATCCACGTGGCTGAGGCTCGTCCAGTTGAGCCGGAGCTGATACAGCCAGTCTCTTCCTGTGAGAGCTGCGCCCTCCTGGTAGATCACGTGCAGAGGCAGCTGGTAAGACTGGCGCTGATGCTCCGCGGTTATTGTCGACACCCCCTTTGGGCGCACGCACTCCCCTTAGAAGAAGCCATTCTTCTAAGTTCGCTCTTAAAGAGTACTCAAACTCCGTGAAAGCCTCTCCGGGCTTCTTTGTGGCATTTCTAAATTTTAAACGAAACGCCTCGGCAGACCAACCGGTACTTGCGGAGCAAACTAATCTTAACTACATTATAATTAGCAGCTTCACTGGTACTGAGGCGACCCATTACTTCCGCCGCCTCCCCTGGAAGTAATGTCAATAGTCTCTGCGGCCACGTGTTGCGATGAAACGACATTCTCTCGCACGTTCTCTCGAAATTAACTAAATATAGCCCAATGTCATCTTCTACCTTAAATGGTTGCATACATTTGCTCATCTTAAAGGTTTCTCTTCCTTCACCATAGCCAGTAACGTTAAAGCCAGCCGCTCCGCGCTCTGTTCTTGCCTTCTGAGAGCCAGTTCCTCTCGTTTCAGATCAGCCTGCCTTTGCTGCTCGGCGGCCTCACGAGCCGCCTGCCTTTCGTTTTGTCTTCGTTGTTCTTGCTCGTCGGCCTCTCGAGCCGCTTCCTTCTCTTTTTGCTCCACAATGCTATTCCAGACATCCTGGATTTCATCGTCAGGGGTCGTTTTCGCTATCTCCGCGATTAGATCAGCTTTTCTGACTGCTTTGGGAATATCAATTTCTAGTGCTCTGCTCAGCTCCAATAGCTCTTCCTTTCTTAGTTTCAGCAGATCCATGACAGTGTGAGGATAGTTTACCGAACTCAAAGTTATTACAAGATTTCTAACTACACGGAATTCGAGTTTGAAAAAATTTCACCCTTCTGGTTAATGCGTTTACCATATAACATGACCACTTTCTTTTCCCAGAAACGTTTTACAATATTGAGCGCAAACTTTGCTCAAAGGAATCGTATAGGAAAAGAAATAAGCTCCGCAATAATCAGGCTGCTGACTCAAGGTACCCTTCCTTTACAACAACCCTGAGCTTCCCTTACAAAGGAGTCGAAAAAGTCCAGGGCACCACAATAACCTAGATAAGCCCGTCGGACATAGCCCTGTGAATGCTCATGAAACCTGACTGGTAGTAGGGTTTTAAAACTAACATTAATTCGCACACAAAGAGACGTTGACGCCCAAAATACTCGATCCTCCGCTCACCCCGCTGACCGATCTACCGCCGTCCGTCCCAGCCCACCTTGATCTCCACGGCGATCTAGAGTCCAGCCTGGGCCAAGCAACTCCACTGCCTGTGACGCTTGTGTCCGTGGAACTGACTCTTCGGCTGAACACGCCAGGACCAGTCGTGTGGCAAGCCGCGCTAGCAGCCTCTGGGTTGCTGCTCAGCCTCGATGTCCCCAGCAGGAGCTCGAAGTCCTGTATCGGGCCGGAAAAGTGCCGCCGAGAAGATCCCACCGCTGCCACCAGTTGTTAGGTTCCGGAGGGAGAGACGAGAACGCAGGAATGTCAAGTCAGGGTAGGGTTTCAGATAATATAATTAAAAAGATGAGAAGATGAATGGTAGCTCTCGGCTCAACTAGACCGAGTGTTCCTCTGGTCGCGCGCCGCGCATGGTCCCGCGCTCCCCCTTTTTTATGCGGTCCGTTGATGCACGTCACGGCCTGCGCCGCCTTCGCTCCGGTTGATTGGTAGAGCGGGAGGTGGTAGCGACAGCAATTTGGCTGCAGCCAGTTGTTCAGGATGGCGACAGTCTTTTGATGGTAGTTGAAGAAGATCTAGTCTCGCGCCGTGGCAAGCTTGCGGATGGTAAGTGCCCGGGTCCAGTGGTCTGCAGTGCAAGTCAGTGGTTCCACTACTTAACAACTGCGCAATCTGCGGAAAACACGACCGCCGAAACAGCCGGTGCGGCATGACCGATACTGCTGCTCCAGCGCCAGTTCCGTTTTAAGCGGCACTCCCTGAACACGCATCGTAAAGTAAAGCCGTCCAAAACGCGGTTTCTCTAGCGTTGTCTGAAGCAGTGGCTCGACGTCCTCCTCGGTTTAGAACACGCCGAAGTTTTGCCTCCGGGAGTCTTTTCGCGGTGTGTCTTGTCGGGACGCTCTAGGAAGGTGGGAACTAGACATCGGTTGCGAGTGGCACACTTTCTGAATATAACCCACTCAGTGGCATCTAAAACACGTCGCTGCTCGGAATTGGCAAGCACGGTTGTGATGACGCAAGCCGCACCGCGTGCACAGCGAACCGTCTCGCGCCCGGCCTCCCTCTGCAGAAAACCTGTGGAAGTCCTCCTGGGCTGCCCTGCTAGGTCGGCACTCTTTCACGTTCTTGGATGCCGCCTCTACTGATAATGCGATCTCTACCGCCTTTTTGAACGTCCAGAGACGCATCCTCAACGAAAAACTTCTTCTGGATTTCAGTCCGGGCTAACCCACATACGAATCTGTCTCTCAACGTTTCTTCTAGGTTCGCACCGAAGTTGTATGTTTCTGCCGATCGCCTGAGGCTAGTCACGAACTCCGCGATGCTCTCGGTCTCTTGTTGCGTTTTCCGGTGAAACTTTGCTTTTTCCGCCATAACTGATGGCCTGGGCGAAAGATGCTCCCGTTATGCTTTCTGTAGCTCTACCAAAGGCTGACTGGCCGGCGTGCTCGGGCGGTCAAACTCTTCAACAACTTGTACGTCTTCGGACCCACGATACTCAGCAAGGCGTCTACTTTGTTGGCGTCTGAAATCTTGTTCACTCGCAGAGATGCGTTAATCATTTCTTCGTATGTCTCCCATTCTGACTGTGATTCATCGAAAGGTTCCTCTTGCCCAATCGTAGCCATCCTGAATGCTTCCGAGTCGATACTCCGTGGTCCTTCTTGCACGCTTGGTTGAGTCTCCTTCTTAACGGTCCCTGTGGAAGTGCTCGTCAGTCTGCGTCACCATCCTCGTCGCCAAGGAGTTGTTGTGTCTTAGAAGGGGGAAGCCAGCCGAATAGTAACAACAACATGGGTTTATTGCCAGCCGGCCGTCAGACCGCGCGAATCGCTGGTCAAGCACACCCGTACAGGAAGCCATGAAGCGCTTATATGAAGATAGAAGCAGGATGATGGGAGCGGCACCGGAGCATAGACACGTGGCGATGATCCAGCTATCAAAGGGGGCGGCTCCCTAGCATAGACATGTAGCGATGATCCAGCTATTTGTTTATCGAAATACAAACAGTACACTCGGCCTCTCGAGCATTTGACCTAGAATATTCGTTGATGAGCTAGGGTGATACTGACTAGGCAAGGTCATTCTTGCCTTCTTTTACACTCGAGGTAAGACTAAACTCAAATTTTTTAGCGGCACAGAGAAACGTTCCTTCTCAGTCATACACGCTTGGAGTCTTACTTACAACAGAAGAAACAGTAGGATTTGTTTCTTAGTTTGATGATTACAAAGCATGTACGAAACGCACACCCATATTGCGAACCTGAAACGAAGTTTGGAGTCTCGAACCGTTCTCGTTACACGCAAAATAATTTATCTTTAATTACAATGATTACAAAGCAGCCAACGAGTTTTAATAGAACTGGAATGGGCGGTTACATGAGGCACGGCGTAATGGCGACCCGACGCCTTCTTGAACAAGGGAGAAGTCGTGGCGATGTCGATGGCGCTTGCAGCTCTTAACTGCAAAATCAGAAAAAGAGCCCAACGTTGCTTTGATATCATGTTCTAAACAGATACTTTTCTCGCTGTATTTTTAGCAGATCTACATACGTGTGACAATTTTCGTCAGACAGTATCCCGTATCGCACGCAAATGCGTTTCGTTTTTATAATAAACCTGATTAGTTTTCTTGGCCTGCCATGTTTAATAAAAGATACAAAACTAAATCATATTATCGGGCAGACGATTCAAACTCTTGCAGACGGCATACTTCAGTCATTCCGTGTGCGTTCGTCATAAGTTAGTCCTCTGCTCCGGGCATCTCGAGACGTCTCGAGGACCGGAAGTTGTCGTCGCAAATATTTCAAACACGGTCGATTATCGGCGAACTCCTGGCGTAGTAAGTGTGAAATCTAGGTTTCCCTTACCTATAATTTATAGAGGTTTAAATTCTACGCTCGAGTTTTGACCGATCGTTTTTTTGGAGCCGGATCCACTCCCATATATTCGTTCGTTACAACGCCCCTAGCAACGGTTTGTTTGGAGCGGTGACGTCACACATTCAGGGTCAGTAAAGCAAGTCTGGCTGCTGGCGGAGTATATTCAGCTTTCATCAATGAAACAGCCGTGACACGTAGACAGCCCCACTCTCCGTCAGGCAGTGGTGGGTTTCACATTTTAATACCGAAACCAAATCAAGGGACTGCCACACAGCAATCTTCATTGAAAATGCTGCAATATTACACCGCACACTCAAGTAAACATTACATATTTCGAATTAACAAACAAACGTTTGTAAAAAAAAAAAAATTAGTGGCCTTCTACACTGTGAAGGATAACCAACGAAGCTGTATTGGGATGACTGTATTGCCAACGCACGGTACTCGGGTCCTGACGTGCGCATTGCGAACGCTTGGCGTTGGCGGCCCGATCCTTGTTGGTCCTTTTTGCTCCACGACGTCGATCACACTCACACTTCTGCTGCCACAGACTACGGGCACGCTGTTGTTTTTTGTTGGTCAGAGAACAGCTACTCGATGGTCCCGAGTCCCGACCCGCCGACCACTGCGCTTTAGGCGGCAGCGGCTTCTCGTCGCTTTCGCGCCCATTCGCGCTTTTGATAACTGTGACGTCTATCGTGTCACTCGCGTAGTCTTACGACTCAGTTGCTTGAGTCAACGAGTTTTAATAGAACTGGAATGGGCGGTTACATGAGGCACGGCGTAATGGCGACCCGACGCCTTCTTGAACGAGGGAAAAGTCGTGGCGATGTCGATGGCGCTTGCAACTAAGCACGGGCTACCGTCACATCTTCCCTTTTCACTAAAGGTCCAGTTTGACCTCTGGCTTGACAGTGCGGCCGGCCCGAGTCTGTGATGCCGCTTCGGCCGTTTGGCACGAAAGGGGCTGTGTATCTCTGCGATGGTGGTTGCGTCTCTTGAGCTTCCTGGCTGGGTTCAGCGATGCTTGTTGTAGCACCCCACAGCTGGTAGTGAGCTGCACTTTGGTGGGCCCTATCATTGAAGTGTTTCTTCTGATAATGCCATGGTGTGTCTGGAGCACGTAGAATCTTGGGGCACCAGGCTTGCTGATAACTGAGCCTGGTATCCATTTCCTTGGACTTTCCCAGACACGCACACTGTCACCTATATTTATGGCAGGTGTAGCTGTTGTGCCCTTGCCTGCATGGAACTTCTGCTTTATGCGTGCTTCTTCCATTTTGCTTTTGACCTTCTGGATAGTTCTCGGCTTCAGTAGGTCGCTTTTCGTCGGCAATGTTGTGTTTGTTCGTCTTCCGTAGAGGCGTTGTGCAGGTGAGCCGATGTCTCCGTCGTGTGGCACATTTCTTAGGTTCAGCATTGCTAGGTAAACGTCGCTACCATCCATGGCGCACCGCCTGAGTATGTTCTTCACAGCTTGTACTGCCCGTTCAGCAAGGCCGTTGGACCTGGGATACAATGGGCTTGACGTTCGTAGTTGGAACTGCCACTCTTCCTCGAAGGTGCGAAATGTCCGTGCTGTGAAGCAGGTTCCTTTTTCTGACTACAATTCGTGGTATGCCATGAGCTGCAAACCAGCGTTTTGTTACGTTAATTACTTCTGCTGCCGTGCTGTTTCGAAGTTAAGCAAAGTCTGTGTACCCGGAGTAGCTATCCACAATCACAATGTGTGATTTTCCTTTGTAGTCAAACGATTCCACACCTACTCGATTACAGGGCAAGTTGGAAACTTCTTTCGGGATGAGTGGCTGCTTCGGTGGTCTCTTCTGTGACGATTCACAAACACTGCATGCCTGGACGTGATCTCGGATGTCGTTTGACATTCCCGGCCAGTATACTGTCTCTCGTGCACGTTCGAGGCTGCTGTTGATCGCAAGGTGTCCGGAGTGTGCTGCCTGTAGAACCCTGTGTTTCCAGGTCTTTGGGATAACTATGCGGTCACCACGGAACAGCAAGCCTCCGTAAGCTGATAGCTCGTCACGCACTGGTAAGAAGAGTTTTTGCGTTTGCGTCATTCTTGTCGTTGGAGGCCATCCGTTATTTACTGACTGCATTACGCTTTGCAGTGCTTCGTCCTGTTCCATTGATATTCTGAGTTCTCTGAAAGTTTCTTCCGACATTGGCAAGATGGCTAGTACCTCCAAGTCTTCGGTACATTTGTTGGCGCTCTCATCAGTTTTGCAGTCATGGCTTAGGAGGCCTGCGATGTGAAGATCTTTCCCTCTCTTGTATACAATCTTGGGTGCGTGGTGTTGTATGTCAAAGAGGAGTCTAAGCAATCAAGGTGTTGCAAAGTCCCAGTGGTTTTTTATTGATGCTTTCAAGAGGACAATGATCAGTTTCTGTGGTCAGTGGTCGCCCATAGATGTAGGACTGGAATTTCTTGCAGCCGTATCGTATTGCCAAGGCTTTCTTTTCTATTTGTGGATAGTTAATATGTGCTGGAGTTAGTGTGGCTGATGCGTAGGCCAAAGGCTTTCCATCCTGCATGAGCACTGCGCCTAGTGCTTTTGAACTGGCGTCCACTGATAGACTCAGCTCGCCATTGCCATCGTAGTACTGTAAGGTTGAGGCTTCTTTGAGGTCCTTCTTGGTCACTTGAAGTGCGCTGCTCTGCTCTTCTGTCCAAAGCCATGCTGTGTCTTGCTTCAGCAACTTTATTAGTGGGACAGCTTTCTCTGCTAGGTTAGGTATGAACTTCTGCAAGTATTGCAGCATGCCAATGAGACGTTGTAGTTCAACCTTGTTTTTTGGTTCTTTGATTTTCTCGATGGCTTCGACCTTTTCCTTGTCTATTTCAAGGCCTTTGTCTGTTAGAACATGTCTTAGGAACTTGACTCTTGCTTGGTTGTAGACATATTTATGTTGGTTGAGTTTGACATCTGCTTGTCGGGGTCTTTCCAAGACTGCTTCGGTGCGTTTGTTCAGCTCCTCCATCGTCTTGGCATATATGAGTATGTCATCCATGGAGTTTGCGACATTCGGGGGGCCTGTCAGGATTTCTGTGATCACTTGTTGAAATATTTCGGGTGCCGTTGCTATTCCGAAAGGAACACGTAGGAAGGTGGCGTGTTAAACGCCAGGTATTTCTTGGTCTTCTCGGACACCGTTAGTTGCCAAAAGTCCTTCTTCAAGTCCAGCAGCGTGAAGACTTTAGATCCACTGACTTGTGCTGCGATCTCTTCCAGCGTCTTGAGTAGGAAATGTCTTCTGAGTAGGATCTTGTTGAGATCTGTTAGGTTTAGGCAAATCCTTAGCTTGTTTTTTCTGCTTGAGTACGACCATCTGATTGCAGAATGTAGTTGGATCATTTATTTTCTTGGTGATTCCGCCGTCCTCCATGCTGTCGAGTTCTTTCTTGACGTCATCCTTTATGGCAAATGACTTTTCTCGGTGGTCTGTTTTCTCCATCTTCCGCGTTCTCCTTTAGGTCTGCATCGTAGACGAACCCTTTAATGCATCTCAGGCCTGTGTACAAGTTTCCTTCTTCTTGCTGTTCTAGCAGATGCACACGCTTCCGCAGGTTGAGCGTTTCACATCCGTTGCTCCCTAGGACAGGTGCTGTGTGTCTATCCACGAAGATGAACTTGATCTTGACCCACTTGTCCCGGACCTTGCACGGAGCACTGCACTCGCCGGTGACGTCAAGTCTGTGTTGGGTGTAGGAGACGATGCGTTTCACTGGTGATTGTCTTGTCTTGAGGTTGAGACTGTTTGCAATGTCGACTGGTAGCACATCGCACTGGGCTCCGGTGTCCAACTTCATTTTTACCGTTTTTTCCGCAAGGGAATGAGATGCTTTCGTACCATTCCTCAGTTGTGTTCTCCTTTTCCTTCTGGATTTCTGAGACAAACATTTCTTCATCCGAGTCTGTGCATTCGACGGCGTGAACTTCTCTTTGTTTCCTCTTGCCTGTTCTGCAGACACCCGCAAGGTGTCCGGTCCTGCTGCAGGTGATGCACTTTTTGCCGTATGCTGGGCAGTTTCCTCTCTGATGCTGGCTTCCACTGTAGCCACAGTTCTTGAGAACTTGTCTCTCTGCTAGCGGCGTCTATGCAGCTCGCTTTTGTGACGGTAGTTTCGGCGTCTGCTTGTTGGCTGTAGTCTTCTTCCTTTGCTCCGTTCTGGCTTGCACTGCGTCGATGGCCTTCGTGCTCTGCGTCGTAATGTCTTTGATTTGTTAAGTCGCCTGCTCACTTGCCTTGCAAAGGTGTATCGCCTTGTCCAAGTCCATGGCTGGATCCGTCAGGAATTTTTCTCAGACGTAGTCGTTCTGCACGCCGACGATGATTCGATCTCGTACGAGTTCTTCCGTGAGCTGACCGTAACTGCATTTGTTCGCTTGAAGTCGTGCGGAAGTCACGTAGGCCGTGAAGGATTCTCCTTCTTTTTGTGCTATCTGGTTAAATTAGTACCTCTCGTAGGCATGGTTAATTCGCGGGGTGAAGTGCGCCGTGAACTTCGCCTTGATGATGTTCATGTCCTTCTTTTGTTCGTCCGTAAACTGGAACGTTCGCTAGTTTTTCTGAGCCTCGGTTCGAATAACTGACATAAAAGTTGCTACTTGCACTTCGGAGGGCTTCTTCAGGAGTTGCACGGCGGTTTCGTACCACTCGTAGGACTGCAGCCAGTCCTCCCACGTTGTGGAGACATTGCTGCTCGTATCCAGCGATTTCGGCGGCCGGAGTCCGTTTTCGCGCGACATCTCGATCTTCTGACACCATGTTTCGTGCATGGTGTCACTCGCGTAGTCTTACGACTCAGTTGCTTGAGTCAACGAGTTTTAATAGAACTGAAATTGGCAGTTACATGAGGCATAGCATAATGGCAGCCCGACGCCTTCTTGAACGAGGGAGAAGTCGTGGCGATGTCGATGGTGCTTGCAACTAAGCACGGGCTACCGTCACACTAACGTTGTCACTCCTTGAGGGCACGTTCTTCTTCCTCAGAGCGAACTACGCGCGTCCTGCCCATAGCAAGTCCAAAGTACAACTGCGGATATCGTCGCTAGGGCGATGACTGCGTCAGTAGAGAACGAGGTTTTACGATTGGTGGGTAGACTACGGCGCCGCGAGTTTTCAATCTACACGTTCTGCCCGCGCACGAAAATAATTTCAGAACGTAGCCATAGACAGCTCGCTGTAAAACGACTCGAGGATGCTCCACTCGAGGAGAGCATCCTCGAGTGGAGACGCTTCTTGAGAATATTTCATACGCAGATATTTCTCTGCATCTAAGGTCTCGTATATTTGATCACGATTGCTTAGATCTGCGTTGGCCCTGCGACGTAAGAGCGCATAAATTGTTTCCGAACCAGATTGCAGCTCGTGGAACTTGTTAACCAAAACCTGAATGATTTCGTTTGACTGGTGTCGCCTTCAACAATAAAATGATTGCTGAGAGCAGTGATTCTCATTTGTTAAAAGTTTATTCGATTTGTCGAAATATTTCGGATTCTATAGAGCCGCTTGTACGGCATATAGTTGCCGTATCCGCACATGGTCAACCGGCTTGGGATAGAGATTCAGTGCTGAGGCTCCCCCCCCCCCCCCCCCCCCCCCCCCCCCCCCCCCGCTTTATGTAGTCTCAAGATGTGTTGGGTCAGTTGGCTTGACAATGATGGTGAGGTACAGTGCTGGTCCAGTGGTGATCGTAGCTTCACTTTAATAAAACAAATTAATTTTGTTCTTCGTAAATTGAAAAATTGAATACTTCATTCGCTACCTCACGGTAGTCTCATTTTGACCCACGAAGAGGTCGAGGCATACCAGAACAAATCCTGTTTATTTATGTATTCATAATACCTTGAAGGTCCATTTCTGGACATTACACAAGAGGGGATTGGGTCAAATTACAGTATAGTAAACACTTAAAAGAGAAAAAAAGAACAGTACCAACAGAATAGCAATAACACAACTGAAAAACCACGTTAACAAACTCACGTATTATACAAATTTTAGGGTACAAGCAAATATAACAC